GGGTTTAGGGATTGGGGTTTAGGCGGTTTAGGAAGTTTAGGGTTCACCTGGACCCTAAACAACCTACCTTGGAACGGCTCCTTCAGATGGCTTCTTTATATATGTCCCGGAAAAAGTAGGTTTTGGGCTACAGGTAAGGCTTTTACGGTGTAAGGGCCCTCTCTTTTGAGAGGTCATTGGGGTTTAGGGTTGAGGGTTGNNTGACGGCTAGACCCTAAACCCTAAACCCTAAGGGGTTTAGGGCTGAAGGTTTAGGGCTAAGGGTTTGGCAGCTCCAGTTCCAGCGAGCTCCCTACTTCGCTGTCTCACATCTACCCGCCCACCCGTTGGATCCCATAAGATTCAACAAACCATGGGAACTTTTGGGTCCTGGGGTGTTTTTTGTTTGCTTGCTACAGAGGCCTGAATAAGTACCTATACTATTTTCGGGGCTCCTTATTACATTTATAGTATCATATGCCCCAAGACCCTATTCTAACTATTGAGGCCCCCCACATTGGTGCACTCCACGAACATCGGGACGGAAGGTGGCAATATCTCTAGGCCCCGACAGCTTGGACCTGAAAAGCCCGACAATGTAGGGACCTTGTTAAAGCCTTCGAATTAGCCAGAATACGGCACAACAAATGAAGGTCTAGGCAATCCCCTGAAAACGGAAACCCAATATAGGGGCCTTCATTTTGAGAACAGGGTTTTTCGGGCCAATATACTACAGCTGTATTAAAAGCTGCAAGGGAATTTTATGATATATTCCGACACATATACTGCGCGTCCAACATTGCGGGTCCGAAGCATACAGATGTGACTGCCAAATGCAAAAGGCGAAATAAGGAGCCTACACTCACCTCGAGAACCGAACAATGCGCAACAATCGAGAAACAGCGTGTGGCTCAAAACCTCGAAAGATTCAAGAGGGATCGTAATTGTATTCCTGCACACCTGAACCCTCTGACTCCCTCTCTCTGTCTCTGCTCCTCGCGCTCGTTCTTGCTTCTCCTTCTGCGCAGAGAGAAGCAACAGAGTGAAAAAGAGAACCCGAGAGAGAGAGAGAGGGAGACGCAAAGAGAGTGGGAAAGAGAACAGTTCAGGTTTAGTTAGGGCTTTTGAGGTTAGGGTTGATGAAGGAGTAAAGGGCGAAAGGTTTAGGGCGTAGAGTTTTTGGCTTGGGTGTAGAACGGTGGAGCCTTCGAGCGAAAACGTCCGAACTCCCGAAACCCAACACTTTCCGACTGAGTCAGATGGCCGCAATGCAAAGTCGAAGGCATCGCATCACGCAGTAGGCTGCAAACCGGCCGTATCCAATGGTCCTGAAACCTCGGACGCGGCTTGCGAAGGCTCGAGCTGGGGCGGCTGCAGGCTCAGAATTTCCTTCCACTACAATAGGGTTTTAAGGCTTTGGGTTTAGGGTTTAGGGTTACTGTTTGGGAGGTTCCTAACATAGGCCCTAATCTAGAATGTATAGGGGCCCTACAAAAAAGGTAGTAGGTTTTGGACATTTACTTCAGTTTTTCCTCGACCTGTAAACCGAGTCTGGCAACTAGGTGAGTGTGACCTCCTCGAAACTTGGAGGATCATGGGACTTAGGAAGTAAGGTTATAACTACCTTGATCGGAGTTACAGTGCATTACAACTAAGTTGCCGTTACCTGTTACCAATTGTTACACGTGATTGCAACTATAGTTACCTGTCTCTATAACCTACATCAGTTATAAGTCCCATGACCCTCCAAGAACCATTGTTGGCCGTCGACGGGTTCGGGGTTTGTAGGGTTTCGGGCGGCGGAACCGTCATACACGATTTTGCTTGGGCATTCACGAGAATAGCAAAAGCCTAACAAGAGGCCGGAATCCAAATTTGGAAGAGCTTCTTTAGCGGAAGGTCCGAAGACGCGGGCTTAAGCCATGAGAACACGGCTTGGTGTATATCATAGTATGGCAACATAGGGACTGTAAGAGGATACTCGTACTCAATGCTCCGGCCACAGCATCAAATCAAACCGCTATGCTAAAAAAACTACAACGCCAAGCTAGAGCCCTTTCTTAAACACCCTTTCATATTGTAGGAGCCCTGTAAAATTTTAGTTTAGGCCCCTACACGCCCAAAATGCCCTAAACCATCCGCAAACCCTAAACGACCTTCTTCAAAATCCTTCTTTTTGCCACATCGAGGATCCTCCTCGGATGAAGATGGTCGTCGGGCCTTTCGGCAGCTGCGACACGGCCTAGCACGCTGAGGGTTTAGGGCTGAAGCTGTACTGTACCGTAAACTACCAAAACCGATTTTTTGCAGGGCCCCTGAAGATTCTGTGTCTAGGGTCTATATTACAAACTAAATAGGATTCTGTATTTATATGTATTTATGGTCTATATTCGGAACTAAAAAGGATTCTGTAGTTAGGGTAGGGTCTATATTAGGAGCCAAAAAAGTATGGTTACGGTAGCTTAAACCCTAAACCCTAAACCTGAGACCCCAAACTTCAATAACAACTTGCAGGGCTTGGGGAACCTAGGGCTGAAGCCTAAGACTTCGGAGCAACTTTAGGCTTCGAGTTTAGGGTTTTGGGTTCAGGGTCTAGGGTTTAGGGTCCAGGGTTTAGGGTTTAGGGTTTGGGGTCCAAGGTTTAGGCTTGAGGGTTTATGAATCCTAGACCGCGTAAGGGTCCCAACACCTAGCAGTCATATGCTCTCCGCAGATGCACGACCATCGGACACCCGAATACGTAGTTCTACAATACAAAAAGGCTTCCTGAAATGAAGGACCCTGTGATTGTAAGGCTCTTGATGTATTTGGATACTGGGTCCAAGAGATCTCGGAGGCCTTAGGACCCGTGCCTTTGACAAAAAATGAGCATGCGAGGCCCTAAACCTCAGAATGGAGCTGTAAGGGTATTATCGCTAGAAGGGATTCTATGTAAGAAGGGCTTCTGTAATACGGATCCTATAAGGGTTCTGCTGCTAAAGAAGTAGTCATGTGACGCTAAAGAAGCTGTGTTACCCTAAACCGGAAACCCTAATTTTATAAACCCCAAACCCCAAACCTTACAATACTAAACCCTAAACCCCAAAACCCTAAATTACTAAACCTTAAACCCTGAACCCTAGATTGCTAAGCCGTAAACCCTAAACCCTAAACTACTAAACCCTTAACCCTTAACCCTAAACCCTAAACCTTAAATTACTAAACCCCAAACCCTACATTACAAAACCCTAAACCCTAAAGAAGCAGCCTCAGCCCGAAAAAGCCATGCAAGCCCTACTCGACCCATGCTCTAAGAGCTGCCTCCAGCGAGAAGAGGACAGCTCTCATCTCTTGGCAAAGATACAAGCACCTTGGTCTGCTGGGAGTTTAGGGTTTTAGGTCTTAGGGCTTTAAGTTTTGGGGTTTGGGGCATAGGGTTTCAGGGTTTCAGGGTTTGGGGTTCTTAGTGTTCTGTAGTTTAGTGTGTCCGTTAGGCTATTGAGCCCCACACCCTAAACCCTATAAGGCCTAAGGCTTCACTTCCCGGGGAAGGCCGTAGGAGGGAACTCTGACCCGGCAAAGCCCAAAGTGCGACACCCTACACCCTAAAACCCTAAAACCATAAAGTCCTAAAACCTAAACTTAAAACCCTAAACCCGGAAACCCTAAACCCTAAAACCCTAAACCCTGAAACCCTATGCCACCGAGCAAGGCACGCTTTGTCCCCCGCCCAACGTCGCAATGACCCGCTCCTCCACGCGTGCTGTCAGCGTGGCCAAGTCAGTTACAGTCACCTCTGTCGCTGTCGCAGCACGCACCCGAATGCCTGCCTTGCCTGTCCGAGGCACGTGCACATGCTGACGTGTCTGTAGAGCATCCGTCTGCTCTTTCCGTGTGGGCCTGCTAGCTCCCAAAGTCCTCATTGCACTCGATGGAGGTGCCAGGACGTCGTCTGTCAGACCCCAAGCCTTTTGCATGTAGTGTCGTACGGTGGCTGCTTGAAGAGAACTCAGCCTCTCGGCACACAACAGGCAACCATGCATAAGACTGTCCGGGTCGATTGACTTGTTCACTTGCATAAAACGTCCTCTTGCTCAACCACAACCACAAGTTTTTTCCTGCCGCGGCACTCAAAACGATTAGCTGACCCATGGTGCACTCTCGCGCCCCTGCTGTCTTCCCTCTCATGGCTCGCATGAGCAGCGCCACTGCGAGCTGCGCATTGACGCACGGCGGCTTCATGGCCGCCACCGTATCCTTCGTCACGTAGATGTCCAGTCGGAGACCTCGCAGGAAAATTCATAACAAGATATAACAAGCTTCTTGCAGCTGTCGCGTAGATGGAGGTCACGGGCTCTGGTCGGGTCCACCATAAGCATGCCCTTGCCCAAGCAGTGCTGCCGGGAGTTCAAAGCGCGCTCGGTCCGCATTTGGATGGGCGAGTACAGCACAAGGGACGGCACGTTCTTGGGGAGGGTTATCATGCCAAGCCGCACTGCGTCGTCCAAACCAATGTCGGAGGACCCGTCCGTGGTCTTCTCTCCGTTGTAGATAATGTCCTCCACCAGCCACACCCTGAGTCTTGGAGGCAGTTCGCGGCGTGTGCTGGGTGACAGAAGCAAGCGGCTATATGCCGTTTGCGCATCCGCGGCCGCCGTAAGCAGGTGCATGGCCGAGACACTGCAGTTCAGCGGCTTGCTGCCGCAGTACACGATGCCGGACTCTTTGCCCACTAGGGCCACCAGTGGCTTGAGCGACTCAGTGCCCGGATGCGTCATTTGCCATAGCCACCACTAAAGCGCACAGGCACTGAGGCTTTGCCTTCGCGGAACCCCAGTCGATACTAAAAATGGTGCCGAGCTGCAGGCCAAGGCAACTGGTGTCCAGCGGCTTTGGCAACAATGCCAACATGCCTTCGCGCACAAAGCGAGGTGGCTGTGTCTTGGTGGCGAGCCGGCGTCGGTGCAGGTTCGGCTGGACAAGAACCGGAGATGCTGCAGGCGTGGCAGCATCGTGGTCGCTGCTGCTCCCGAAGTCCACCTCGCTTCCTGGGTCTTCTGCCACATCTTCTCGCATGCACTCCGAGTGTTCCTTCCTAGTGCAGACGTAAAGCCCTGCTTGCCGAAGCAGCTCGGCCTTCTTCGGGGTCGGCAACCTGCGTGCAGCACTGCACCATACACTCAACCTGACAACCCCGGCTACAGTTGCTTGGCCATGTTCGGCCACCTCGCGCCAGTCTCGGGCATATCTGACAGCTATACTTTCAAGAGCACTTGGCTACCCACCTTCTGCCCGCTTGTCTATCTGTTTCCTGCTTGCCTATGAAAAGGCTTCAGTGCCCGAGCCAGGTGCAGTGGCAGCTTCGCCGGCACGCCGTTCAGGAAGGCAGTCAGCGTGGTCGGAGCCAGCTGCCTCAAGGCTGCCTTCCGAGCGACCTCGACCACCTTTTCCTCACTAGCGGGCATCGTGGTTGCGGTGGAAGTTCTAGCGAACTCTGTGAGCCAGTAAAGATTCAGCATGTGCGCGTGAGCTTGCAAGCCATGCACATGGTTGCTCGACCCCTACAGGCAGGGCTAGCTCGACAGGGTGTTTGCCCAAGCCCCACTCGTGGGCCTCTCGATTTCTGAGCAGGTAGCAAACGAACTCGGAAATCAGGTCAAGCCTCGCATCGCAGACCGATTATTGTTATAATTTTTTGGTTCCTGCCTTCAAAGCCATGCAAGATATGTTGAAAATGCACACGGAGATGGCTGCCGCGTCCTATTCAAGGGTCGGAGGTCACAGGTCTTTCGGGGTAACTTGCCGCAGCGCCAGATCTTTTTGTTGTTCGTGATATTGTAGGACGAGCCTCCATACAGGACTCTTACGGGACGAGGGCGCTTACAGCACGAGTCTGCTTACGGGACTCTTACGCGACGGGGGCGCTTGCGGGTCGGGGTTAAGTCGCGTCAGGGCATGTTGAATCACAGCATCCCCAAAGTGCACGCCCCGATCCGCGTTTAGTCACATCAGAAAGAGCGAAACCCCATGTGCATGCCGCCCGGAAGCGGGTTTCAACACATGTCACGAAACGAGCAAAATGTCAGCGTGCCGCAGGCATTCGTGCTTATTTTGCAGACACATCACCTCGTTTAGTCACATCCGAAAGAGCGAAACCCCATGTGCACGCCGCCCGGAGGCGGGTTTAAGCACATGTCACACGTGCTCGCCAATGTCGCAATTCTTTCCGTCGTGGTGGTGACCATCGCGATCTCAGATTACTGCACCGCACACTTGTGAACGACCCGAAGTGGTACAGCAAACTGGAAAACATTGTAAACCCTCGATAAAAATTACTTCGGGTGGCTGGGGCGGGATCCGCTACACTGGAGCGGCCCAACTGACGCCCGGGGTCGGGACGGCACTGACACACCCTAAAACCCTAAACCCTAAACTTAAACTGTAAAACCCTAAACCCTAAACCCTTAACCCAGACCCCATCCGAGCGAAGCCGAAAATAAGCGGAGTTGAAGGAACAGCGCACTAAAGGGTTTAGTGTTGGGACCTTATTTATTAGAATAGGGTTTTGGGAATTATTGCACTTATAATTATAATACGGAACCCGCAAAATTAGTATAGGTAATTACTAAGGCCTCTGTGTTAGGGTTTAGAGTTCGGTCTTTAAGAGCCACGACCCTTAGCGCTTAGGGTCGGGTACTGCCCCCATACAGTAAGAGTCTATGATAAGGGTAGTGTTCAGTATAGTTGGTAATAACCACTCAGATCTCACACGCACTGATAATACCGTTAAGTGTTAGCAAGGGCTATTGCACCATGGCGCTCAGATTCCTTTTCCTTGCTAGAGCACTATAGCGACGGTCATCCAAATAGGTGCACAAGGGGACAATACTTTACACGTGCATAATCTACATTCAGGGTCTTATATATCTTTACTAAAGATACTGTTCAACTGTTACTGTGCGGGTGCTAAACCCGAAACCCTAAACCCCAAACCCTAAACCCAAACCCCTTGGGGCTTAGAGTTTAGTGTCTTGCCGAGGGCCCCTTCATCAAAGCCTAACCCGGCGGGGAAGGAGTTGTCCTCTCCATGAAGGGTGCCACATAGCAAATTCCAAGAAAACGAGGGTTTAGGGTTTATGGCTCACTAACCCGGAGCCCTAGTGTAGATCCTGGTTAAACAACCTTGAATACTCAAACTGCATCACGAACCCTTTAATACCGCAAGGGACCACTACAACAATCCCAAGACGGGCAAGCACCAAAACCGCACTGAACACTAAACCCCCAAAGCCCTACTGTAAGCCCTGAAACGATCCAGGGCTCCGAGTCTATGGTTAGGGTTTAGGGTTTAGGGTATTGAAACCCCTTCCGATAACCCTGAGTACTGCACCAAGAAAAACCATACATCCGAAACGTTCGAGTGGGGCTTGCGAAGCGCTGCGTGTCGAGGCCTTGGGTTGAGGGTTTAGGATTTTGGCCCTAAACATGAGCTGTAAACAGTACCTGCCTCGCTTTCTTGGGTGTAGAACCCACTAGCATGCCCAGCTCAGTGTTTAGAGGCGAGGATTTGTGGGCTGCCACCCCTGTATTTGAAGGATCATGGGACTTAGTAACTGGGGTTACAATTCTACAATTCAAATAACTATGGTTTTAAGTTCTGTTCACTCCGTTTCAGGTGCTTATGCCCTTACTTACTAAGTCCCATGATCCTCCAACTACCCCGAACTCTAAACCCAAAACCCCTATCATAGAATACATATAGACCCTTAAATGAACCCTAAATCCTAAACCCTAAAACCCCCGTTGCAAACTCAGAACCCGAGCCATCTTGACCAGTGACCTCTAGACCCCCAGAAAAAGATCGAAACATGGAATCCCCAAACGGTAACCTACTGTTATATGGCTTAAGGTATGCGTTGCTTTTAAGCGTTCCCTAAACCCTAAACCCTAAACCGCTAGATATTTTCTGCGGCCTGGGCCCAGGGAGCATAGTTAACAGGGTCTGCAGCAAGTATCTGCGCCATAAGTAACCTACGGTTGATGATATAAGTCCTGCACTACTGTACTCATAATGAGGAATATACATAATTCCTATAGCTTAGGCTCCTTAAGGTCATGCAGGATTTATATCATCAGCCGTAGTTGGTGGTGTCGCGGCTATAACACTGTCTATATCCAACCTACTATGTGTCCTGGTCACTCATGTACGTGCTTCCGAGGCACCACAGTAGGATGCACATCATGCAGAGCATGATGCCGTCCGACATCATGGGCGGCTCGAAATCCTCAACTAGCTCCCTAAGACCTAAGAACCAGTTATAATTTACATACACATGTACTATCGACCTTTCTACCGATGTATCTATCCATCTATCCATCTGTCTATCTACCTACCTATCGATCTATCGATCTGTCGACCTATCGATCTACCGATGTATCGATCGATCTATGATCTATCTATCTGTCTATCCGGCAAACTGTCTCTGTCTGTCTACCTGTCTAGCTGTCTATGTGTCGATCTGTCTATGTCTTATGTATCTACCTACCTAGCAATCTACCCATCTAGCTATTTATTTATCTATCTTTTTTTCTATCGATCTACCGATCTATCAGTCCATCTGTCGACCTATCTATCTATCCATCTATCTATCTCAGCTATCTATCTACCTATCTACCTATCCTAGGTGGAAGGTAGGGAACCGCCAGGGCAACTAGTTCAAACATGCTAATGCTAATATGGCCGTCAAATCTAGTGGCGTTGATGACTAGGATAGGGTTCTGGGGTACTTTATGTGAATGTGTGTGTGTGTGTGTGCGTGCGGATTTGGAAACTATATAGATACGGAGATGGCACTTCGGGCTAAAACGAAATCCTACCTGTTGGGTACCTTTTCGGTCTAGGTCCATATTAGCTGAGCACCGAAGCCCAAAGCCGAGTTCGGTTCTAAAGCTCAACCGGCTCCTTCACGTTTAGGGTTTAGGGCTTAGAGTATTACATTCAATACCACAACCCTTCCACCTCAAGCTTGCGGTTGGTCCTGAGTCAAGGAAACTACAGATTAAAAAGTCTAGGGTACATAGGGCTTCTATAAGGCTTCCATAAGGTATATAAACCCTAAACCCTAAATCCTACACCCTAAACCCTAAACCCTATACCCTAAACCCTAAACCCTATAAGGCTCCTATAACGGCAATTACCCACCTGACTGAGATCTCGGTCTTGCACACCCCACCCCAAAAGCTTTCGACAGGAAAGGCATCGAGCGTGAGGTTTAGGGTTCAGGGTTTAATGAAGATTGCACAAAGCCCTCCAGCAACTCAGTCAGACCCTAAAGTAAACTTTAAATCAAAAAACCTAAAATCCTAAACCTTAACCCCAAAAACCCAAAACCCAAACCCAAAACCCCAAACCCTAAACCCCAAAACCCCCAAAACCTAAAAGTTTTCGCCGAGGCACGCTCGGGCCCAGCCCCATGAACTGGTTGATACTGGGCGAAGGAATGCATACGTCGGGCTCTTACCCAGACCACCGGGAGGATCTAGAAAGTAGATTAGGGTTTAGGGTTTAGGGTTTAGGGTTTAGGGTACAAAGTACTCTTGAGTAGTATTTAATTCTAGGGTGAGACTCCATCACTTGGAGTTTACGCTCTAGGCATTGAAGCTTCAGGGGTTTAGGGTTTACGGTTTCCGGTTTAGGGTTTAGGGTTTAGACTTGGAGTCTATTCAGGCTTCATGAGTTTAGGACTGGTTTAGCGTCTCTGTATTTGGATTTCAGGCTTCAACACGCAATGGGCTGAGTGGGCAACCTAGATTGCTGAAAGTATGCATCCTGGCTTCCGGTCTGGTTTTGAGGGTTTTGGGTTTAATGCAGGCTTAGGGTTCAGGCTTAGGGTTCAGGGGTTTAGGGTTTAGGGGTTTAGGGGCTAAGGGTTGAGGATTTCGAGTCACCGTGGAGTTTCTGGGGTTTGCAATACTGGAGAACCCAGCTATAGCCTATCTATTGTCTTCCCTGATCTTTGCTGTCTGGTAAACCTAGACTGCAGAAGCCAAGACTAATACAAACACTGCCTTAAAGCACTCAGAGCCATGACCGAAACTCGAAGCCTTTGATAGCACAATAGAGCCCTGAAGCAAGCCTGAACTTCTTAAACCCTA